TTCCTGAACAGAATACCAACAGCACAGTCTCTAACATTAACAATCAATAAATGGGACCTCATGAAATTGAAAATCTTCTGTAAAGCAAAGGACACTGCCATCAGAACAAAACGCCAGGCTACAGACTGGGAAACAATCTTGGCCAACCCTATATCTGACAAAGGGCTAATGTCCAGAATATATAAAGAACTAAAAAGTTAAAAAGCAACAAATCAAGTAATCCAATTAAAAAATGGAGTACAGAGCTAAACAGAGAATTCTCTGTAGAAGAATATAGAATGACAGAGAAACACTTAGAGAAATGCTCAAAGTCCTTAGCCATCAGGGAGAGGCAAATCAAGATAGCCCTGAGATTTCACTTTACACCCATCAGAATAGCTAAGACCAAAAACTCAAGTGACAACACATGCTGGAGAAGTTGTGGAGAAAGAGAAACCCTACTTAAATGTTAGTGGGAATGTAAACTTGTACAACCACTTTGGAAATCAGTCTGGGGTTTTTTCAGACAATTAGGAATAGTGCTTCCTAATAGCTCAAGATCCAGCTATACCACTCCTAGGTATATATCCTAAATATGCTCAAGAACACAACAAGTACATTTGCTCAACCATGTTTGTTGAAGCTTTATTCGCAATAGCCAGAATCTGGAAACAAGCCAGATGTCCCTCAGTTGAGGAATGGATACAGAAATTGTGGTACATGTACACAATGGAGTATTACTCAGCAATAAAAAACAAAGAAATCATGAAATTTGCAGGTAAATGGTAGGAACTGGAAAAGATCATCCTGAGTGAGGTATTCCAGAAGCAGAAAGACACAGAGTATACACTCACTCATAAGTGGATATTAAACATATAATATAGGATAAACATACTAAAATCTGTACATCTAAAGAAACTAATCAAAGAGGACTCTATCTAAGATGCTCAATCTCCATTCAGAAAGGCAAAGAGGATGGACATCAGAAGAGAGAGAACACAGGAAACAGGACAGGAGCCTACCACAGAGGGCCTACCCTGCAGGGTATCAAAGCAGATGCTGAGACTTACAGCCAAACTTTGGGCAGAGTGTACAGAATGTTTTCAAAGAAGTGGGAAATAGTAAGATCTGGAGAGGACAGGAGCTCCACAAGGAGAGCAACAGAACTAAAAAATTTGGGCACAAGGGTCTTTTCTGAGACTGATACTCCAACCAAGGACCATGCATGAAGAAAACCTAGAACTCCTGCACAGATGTACCTCATGGCAGCTCAGTGTCCAAGTGGGTATCCTAGTAAGGGGAAGAGGGGTTGTCTCTGACATGAACTCCATGGCTGGCTCTTTGATCACTTCCCCTTGAAGGAAGTGATCTTACCAGGCCACAGAGAAAGACAATGTACTCAGTCCTGATGAGACCTGATTGGCTAGAGTCAGATGGAAAGAAATAATTCCCTATGAATGGACTGGGAGAGGAGCATAGGAGGAGAAGAGGGAGGGAGGATGAGATTGGGTGGAGTTGAGGGAGGGATATAAATTAAATAAATTGTAATAAATAATAATTTAAAAAACAATAAATAAATAAATAAACAAACAAACTACCTGGTTGTATGCCTCTATTTTAGGTTGCTCAGAGAATGTGCCACTCCGTACTCTTCCCTACCATTACTAAAAGGAAGGTAACAATTAATGGTTTAGTAGAAAAGGAGAAGAAACAAAGAGTATTTCTTGAGAACCAAATGGTGCTTCAAGGGATAAAACAGAGTTAATTTGTTCTCTCTTTCAATTGTAATCTTATTGCAAAACATAGAATGTATGCAAATGTGTGTTCACTTATAAGGCTGCTGGACATAATCTAATTTGCCATTGAATTCCTTTGATCCATTTTGCAATCATTTCTTCAGCCATATGTATGTCTAGTTGCTTTATTACTTAGCACTTATCTTTAGTTTTATTTTGTTTATGTTTTAAGTGTAAATGATAAAAAGCTGAAAGAAAATAACAAACAATAATTAGTTGATTGCAAAATACACACTAGCTTCCAAAGATTCAATATTGAATATACTTTCCTCTGGAGACTGCAGTCTGATGTATAAACAACAATAAAATGTGGTGATCCTAATGCAGTCTGGTTGCAAGTGAGTTGAGATTTATGAAAATAAAACATATAAACCAAATTGAAGCTACAGGAACCTTCAGCCATAAGAGACATTTCCCAAATATGTTGTAAGGATTTTATTTTTTAAGTTTTAGTTTATTTTATATATGAATGTTTTGCTGGTGTGTTTCTATGTGCCCCGTGCGTGACTGTGGAATCCTCTGCATATGGAGTTATAAATGGTTGTGTGCCAACATATGGGTGCAAAAAGGAATTGAACTTGGGTCCTCTGCAGTAGCAACAAGTGCTTTTACCACCTGAGCCATCTCCCCAGCCCTTTATGGATTTTAATCTGTAAATTTCATGTAGGAAACATATGGATAATAGCACTCTATGTCAGACCTGTGAACAACAAACAGCAAAAAAAAACCCTGGGCACAATAAATGTAGACACATGAGATCTCGTTGCATGTGACAAACTATGAAAGATATTGGGAAGGAATAATAGTTCTTGCCTTTAGACAGTTACTCAGGTTGTATGTTGAAATAAAATTACAAAGTTATTCAGTTATCTGATTGTTCAGCTGAAACCTAATTTCGGAAACACAAAATACAAAAGTGCAGTAACACTGCAGTTTCCAGGGGATTCAGCACTTTTTCTCCCTGCACACAACAGCTGTGCACGTATGCACAGGCAAACACACTTTGCATTATAGCAAGTTACCGATAACTGACTGTAGACATCATGATAATAAAAACAGCATCCCTCTCCTCTTCACATCCCCAAAGGAACTTAACTCCGAATAGAGGTTAGGTTCATTTGTTATCTGTTGTCTTTCAAGCATAGCTAATAATAATAATAAGTATAAGTGTCATTTCCCCCAGACTTTAGGACTTTTAATTTGTCCTAAAGTCACTAAAGAAACACACACACACACACACACACACACACACACACACACAAATTATAAAAGATTTCTTTACAGCACCCAATGCAAATGGAAGAGGAAAGCAATTATTTGTAGGAAAAAATTATTTTGTACATGGGATGAAACAATATAATTTTAAAATATACAGATAAGGGTTAGCTCCATCACTCATCTTTTAAAAGTTCATATGAATAACCAGTCAAAACCAACTTTTCTGACATGAACTCAATGAGTGGCTCCTTTACCTCCCCAACCCCCAAGGGAGGAGCAGCACTCCTAGGCCACAGAGGAGGACTTTGCAGCCAGTCCTGAAGATACATGATAAAACAGGGTCAGATGAAAGGGGAGGAGGTCCTCCCCTATCAGTGGACTTGGAAAGGGGCAGGGAGGAGAAGAGGGAGGGATTGTGGGATTGGGAGGGAATGAGGGAGTAGGATACAGCTGGGATACAGAGTTAATAAAATGTAACTAACAATAAAAATAAAAAACTTAAAAAAAACCAACATGGTATCTTTTTTGAAATGTTATCTATATGGATTCCTTGTATACCACATGGCTGTTTCCTGTATTGAAATGTCCTCACAAGGTTCAGTCACTGAATAGGTAACCAAGTAAAGAAAAACACAAAGTACTTGCTTTCAAATGAAGAGCAAAAGACTCTTCCATACAGAAGAAACTATTCAGTCTTCTTTCTTTGTGTCTTGGAGTCTCCTCCTCATCCTCTACCACTTAGAAATCCTCTTAGACCTCCAAAGCCTCGTGGACTCTGAAACCAAATCTGCCTCTTCTTCTTCTGACCCCTCCCTTGGCCTCTAAAGCTCTTCTGCCTACAATTAGGCCACCAAAGTCACCTTCACCTTCAGGTTTGGCCCAGTCCAAGGTAACTTTGTTTTCATCAGTGTAAGTGCCTGCACTTACTTACTGGACCAAAGTCACTTGACATGGCTTTGAGGAATTAAATCAGGCCAGGCTGGAGGGACCACAACATAACTGAAGGACAATTTTCTTGAGAGCAATCAACTTTTTATACCATTTTGAGAAACAGAATATGATGCCAGTTGTCAAAATCAATACAGTTATAACTGTCAGGATATAATGATGTTTGCAACGTATACAGGGTACACAGATAAATGTCTAGGAGCAATTGTCCTACCAAGCTTCCATGCTTCCTTGGCTTCCAAGGGAACATACAGAGAAACACAAAGAGGCTGGAAGACTTCACGGAATGAAGGAGTGTGTTTATCTCTCGGGAACTGGAAGGCATATTGTGTCCCAGAAGCCATGGACTCTAACCTAAAAAAATCTATGGCACATGCCTCTCAAGACAGCTAAGCCAAGCCAGCTCCATGGGTCCTGGCACATCAATTTCTCCATCTTCCATGGCCTCAGTGGCAACTTTGGTGTCTTCCTTGCTATAAAAGTCTACAAAGCCAAACTCTTTGGGGGAACCATTTCCCAAATCAGTGAAAAGAACCCTCAAATTGTTGGTGACAGATCCTCTGACAGATCTTTGACAAACAGAAATTTAGATGGTTGACTTCTTGCCCTTGAATTCCATTTTATTACAGGGGTTTATGGCTTCTTTAGCATCTTCAAAGGAGGCAAATTCTATAAAAGCATACTTTACAGATTTGTCATTTTGGTTGTGGGGTACTTTGATAAAAGTTGTTTACTCATATATTTCCTGAAGATTTTCTTCTGTTGCACTGTAGGAAAGGTTACACAAAATCAAAGTTTTTGATTCACCACTCCAACAACTATTCTTTCCATCTCTCTCTTCCCTTTGTTCTGTATCTCCAATTTAGTAGAGTGAAACAAATTACCCACCAATTTCTGTCCCCTGATTTTGTTCAAAGTTTTTCCTGCATCAACTTTTGTCTTAAATTCAATATATGCAACACCTTCACTCTTCCCAACCTGGCTGACCAATCTGATATCCATGGCATCTTCAAAAACTTCTTTTAATTTATCCTCAATGATGTTGAAAGAAAGGTTTTAAAAAATATGAAAGGCCTCATAAATTTTTCTGTCATCCTTGTACAGGGGCTATGCAAATCTTCTCTGGATCACTCCTATTTTCAAATATGTAAGGTCAAAGCAAGCACAGGGATATTATTCATATCTTTTATGTTTTCTGTTCCTTAGAAAATGCACAATAAGATAGATGTGTGTTTATGTCTTCTAAACAAGGTAATGCCAGAATAATAAGACATGTTTCAATTCCTTCTAGATGACAATAAAGTTAGACTTACATGTCAAGAGAAATTCCTTAATTACTGTGTTTAGCCAAAGCCCAGGATCATGTCGGATTAATATGAAAACTGTGAAATGAACTTGAGAGCTTTATTTTCTGTGGATTTCTTAATACTTCATAAGCCTGATTAGCTTCACTTGAAATATACATTCTAATATGTATAGTAAGGATTTTTCAATAATTTTTGTGAGAATGCCTTCTTAGTAAGGAGTGCAGCTACTTGTGGAAAGCTATGTGAGGACCATGTAGAAGAGCTGAAGATCCCAGCTGGGTTTCTTGTACTCTAACTAGATTCCGTTTCACTCTTGAGCTTTTTAGACCCCAATAGTTAGACCCTTCATATATGGCCCATTGTAGTCAAAACTACAGACTCGGGAAATAGCATTTTTTTTTTTAAATTAAGCTCTAAGCACTATGCTGGGCAGATTCTGACTATTCTATCCCAAGTATCTCTAAAACCCACATAAAAACCAATCACTTGCCAATCTGTTGACTCCCAGGCAGCTTCTGCTCCACCAGCCTCTCCTCATGGCCACATTCACATATGCTGCTCATCATTCATCTCGCCGCATGGGGACTCCTTTCTCTCCTGCTTTCTCTCCTCCTGCTATCTCTTCGGCTTCTCCTCTCCCATCTCTATCCTGTTCTCTCTATCCCAAGTCAGGAAACCTAAACTACATCTACCTCTTTTCTGACCAGTCATTGGCTTCAGCATCTTCATTAGACAATCAGGGAAACTGGGGAACATTCTTTATCACATGGTTATGGAAAATAATTCACCATTCATAACAATGCCCATGTCAGGGCGGTAACCAAATACCTGATTAATTGTCATCTCAGAAGCGTACTGTTAACCTAGGCCTAGCCTTGGAAGCTTCTAGTCTCTGTACAATCTAATCTAGGTCTAGAATGTTTTAATAATATTTTGGTACCTAAACAGCTTGCTTTGTAAAGGAATAGAATGCGTATAACCCTGTAGTTATACTCTGAAATGTTGCAAGGTATTTTCTGTCTAGTTGAGAAAATGAAGCATGTACTTATTATAGCTCAAACAAACTGGAGATTAATATAAAGAGGAAGGGCAAGATTAAGAAATATGCATACCCAATGAAAAAGCTTCCATTAAGTTTCACTAATGCAAAAATTTAACAGAAATTAATTTTCTTAATTTCAAAGGTAAGAATTTTAAGGCACATTTTAAGGATGTCTTATATATAATGTCTATTTTCTTTTTAGAGTGAAATGTTGACATTGTATTTTATGTTATATAACCACATAAATCTGTGTCTGTGTATAAAAACCTATTTCTCTTATTTTAATGTATTTTTTCTTTCTTCTATGTATTTCTCTGCAGCCACAACAAAGTTCTCCAGGAAACCATGAGAGCTCTCAAGTTCAGGCAACAAAGGAAGACACGAGAAGAATCTCTGTGTGTGGTCCTCAAGATGTAAGAATAACCTAAAGTGGTTTGCAAAGAAGGACACAACCTTTGGCAATGATAGCTCATGCCATCATGAAATGTTCTCTGTGTGTGGGGGATGTCTACTTTCTAAGCATGATAACTTTCCATGTGATGACACAGATGTTGCCTAGACAGCATCAGGTAAATGTTTTTCTAGGTTGGGTAGCCAGATTCTGCTGTCCAACTGAAGGCTTAGCACTACCATCACATTCATTCCTACAACCACGAGACAACAGTCAAGGGGTTAAGGCGGAAACAAACAAAAAAGATTCTATAGTATAATTAGTTTTTCCACCTAACAAAAACAAATGTGCCATTACAGGACAGCATACTAGACAGAGGGAGATTCTCAACCTTCATATGATAGATAGGAACCTGAACTGCAGGGGTCCCTGCAAGAAAAAAATATCATTCCCTGAATTCTGTTAGAATGAAGGTTTTAGATCTGTCATGGCAAATTTAACAAACTACAACAGACATTTTTGTTAACCAGATTTAGATATAGGCTCTAGTCCAAATAGAAATTATATAGTGAGATGCCCGTGGTGAAGGAAATTAGCCAACTCTAAAGGAAATAAAGAAGAGAAAAACAAGTTAATCAGTATTTACTTTTTTTTCTGCTAGCTCCCAACATGAGTTTGAAATCAAAATCATTTCTCAATACACTTGCCACTGATTCCTTGTATATAGAACCATATATCTAAATCATATAACTTAAAATATAAAGTTAACCAGGAGTAGAAATTAATATTCTGCAGTTGACTTCTACAGAGTCCAGAAATCTATAGGTAGGAAGGAATGCCTTTGCAGTGGCCTCAAATATGGATAGATTTTTGCCAATGAGAGCAAATTTTCACAAGAAGATATACAAGAGCAGAATTAATACAGAATAGAATATAGAAAGCAGTGAGGTACTCACATAGGTTAGTCCCAAACCACAAAGAAAAAACTCGGATTCCCTCATTAGAAAATTTAGATTGAATTGTGCCATGTTTTCAAATGTTTGTCAACTGACAAACAAAGACTAGTGTTACTTTATAGGAGGGCATCTACTTTTTTTACCAATGGATTGAAAAGTTTGTTCTATTCGTTGATATTAAGCATCATTTTGGCTCACCATTTTACAAAATATTGGACCTGTCAAACCCTGTGTGTGTGTATTTATTATTTCCTCCCTCTCCTTCCACTATTACTCTCCTTTATGAACACCTTTCCTTTGATAATTCCTATAAACTTATCCTTCCCTGGTTCTGTCACTGCAACAATGAAACCATTGTCTCTACTCTTACTTCAATAAACATTGGTGTTTGGTGTTTCACCCTTCCAGAAGCTATAATTCCCAGTGCAGAGAATGCTCAAGAAGAGCTACAGACCCAAAGTATAATATAAACTAGATAAATTATTCATGTTTAAGGAAGAGGATTAGTGGCACAAGGATGAATATCAGTTTTTAAATTTTAAATCAGGACTTCCAATCTGTGACTTCAGAATAATATCACCCAGAGAACACTTCAGAATAATACTACCTAGAGAACACTATCAAAATATGGTTGCAGAGGTCTTTCTAGAAAAGTTAGCTCAGCATTCCCATGGGTGGAATCTGTAAAACTGATGCGTTTATTTCAAATACTCGAGGTAATTTTATGCTTCAGATAAATTTCACTAAAAGTGTTTTCAAATAGAAATAATCACAAAATTATCTGGGAACATTATTCACATTTTGAACAACTACTTGGAGTTTTGTAAATGAACAGAGCTAAGGGACTTTGTATACTTTTTTAACATCAGACTGATGACTATTGCCTCAAAACAGACTATCCTATAGACATGTGACCCAGGGAATATAATTTTAAAAGTGTTGGTTTAGGAAAGCCGTAGGTCCTGTGGTATATTAATTAGCAACAAGCTATCTTTTTTTCTACAGTTACAGTTTCATGTTAAAATGGTAATTTCTATATAATCTCCTGTAGTAGTGGTGGCAGCTTTTATATGAATTTGATGATGGGACATCTATTTCCAGAATCTGTCACTTAGTGTAGGATAATTTAATGTATACACTCATACATATGTGAATGTGCGTATATATACATACTTGTGGGACTGTGACTGAGGACTATGAGGCTTCAATAAGCTTCTACTGATCTTAATAGTTGCTAAGCTTGCTCGAGATTCTGAGTGTTAACTACTCATGCAAACACAGAGCCTAGGCGCTGAGGATTCAGGGCTTCTTTCCTCAAGTCACATTTGAGAATGCCGCATTTCTGACTTTTTCCAATAAGCCAAATGAGTGTGGGAGGAATTTTGGATCCATGGGAACTATTCTCATGTGTAGCTGTCTAAACCCAAAACATCCTAAGTTATGTTAAGCATAATAAAAGTGTGGCTGCCATTTCAGTATAGCAATTTGAAAATACTTTCAACATCATTGTAAATGCAGATGGAGAGTCAAGAGTCACTCTGGTTTGTTTTATTGGATGTGTAACCTGACAGAAAAGAGAATTTAATTTAAATGATTAAACTAAAAACACAAGAACCACTTTCTGTTTCTTTGTTCTGTGCTCATAGCTATATTATATCCAACATTCAAACTTGTAATCCTTAATGAGCCTTCTATTTTTTTCCAAATTGTGTTGCAATGTAAATTTCTATATTCACTATTTGGATATTTAGACAATTGTCCTAGATGTTACATTATTTCTGAGGTTTAAAACCTAAAATAATGATTTAGGAAACCTCACAGTCCTTAATTTTCAGTGAGTTTCTATTTATATAAAGTGATGGATGGATAGTTGATTGATATAGAGATGGATATAGTTGATTGAAATACTGAAGAAAGAATAAGTTATCAGTCAAATATGAAAAAAGAGGTTTTTTATCTAACATATATGAAGATGAATTAGCAGTTAAAGTGAGTAGCTATGTATGATCAGATAATGAAAACTCATAGAAGGTAGCAAGTGAGGTGCTGGAGGAAGAGATGATCTTGGGTGTTATCCCTGGAACTCTAGAAAGAATGGGGAAAGCACACGCAATTTTTCACGTGCGTAAGTCATGATGGTTGTGACTGGATTGGTGCTGCTCACAGTTTACACTGGCTAGCACAGGAGAGAATGTGGGAAGGCAAACCTACATCTAAGTCTTCACAGTGCTGCTCCTCAGATACCTTTTGTAAATGGCTTTATTTTATGGACTTCTTATCAATATAGGATGTAGCAAAGATTTTCCAATTTCAATATGGACAAACATTCCTGGATCAGCCTGTAACATGCCCAGGATCCAGTTATATACATTAGCACATCTGTGAGAAGATGCCTAGAGTGTATTTACTAGAATTTCTGTTGTCAATATTTTGTGTTAAACATTTTGAGAAACCCTGAAGCTGATTTCAGGCATATTTATTCATTTTTTAAAATTTTTATTTATTTATTATTTATTACAATTTATTCACGTTGTATCCGGGTTGTAGCCCCCTCCCTTGTTTCCTTCCAATCCCATCCTCCCTCCTTTTTCTCCCCATGTACTCTCCCCTAGTCCACTGATAGGGGAGGTCCTCCACCCCTTCTGTATGACCCTAGCCTATCAGATCTTATCAGAACTGTTTGCATTGTCTTCCTCTGTGGCCTGGCAAGGCTGCACCCCCCTCGGGGAGGGGGTTTCAAAGAGCCAGCCACTGAGTTCATGTCAGAGACAGTCCCTGTTATCCTTATAAGGGAACCTACTTGGAGACTGAGCTGCCTATGCCCAACATCTGAGCAGAGGTTCTAGGTCCTCTTCATCATTGGTCCTTGGTTGGAACATTGGTCTCTGCCAATCCTATATCTGACAGAGGGCTAACATCCAGAATATATAAAGAACTCAAGAAGTTAAAGAGCAACAAATCAAGTAATCCAATTTAAAAAAATGGTGTACAGAACTAAACAGAGAATTCTCAATAGAGGAATATCAAAAGGCAGAGAAACAAATGTTCAATAAAGAAATGTTCAATGACCTTAGTCATCAGGGAAATTCAAATCAAAACAACCCTGAGATTTCACCTTACATCTATCAGAATGGTTAAGATCAAAACTCAAGTGACAACACATGCTGAAGAGGACCTGGAGAAAGAGGGACCCTCCTACATTGCTGGTGGGAATGTAAACTTGTACAACTACTTTGGAAAGCAATCTGTCTGTCACTTTCTCAGAAAATTAGGGATAGTGCTACCTCAAGATCCAGCTATAATGGCTTCAGTTGATAAAATATAATATTAGATTAAATGGAGACAGCAAAGCCTGATGTTCCTCCATCTCATTATTCCATGGCTGTTCTTAAGTAGCATACATTTTGCTTTTATTTTTAAGAATTAAAAGTTGAGACCAAAAAAAAAAAAAAAAGAGTTGAGACCTAACATCAATGTGTTTTGAAATATTTTTACTCCTATGAGTAGCAGATATTTTTCTTAAGGTGCTAAGGAAATGAAAAGCAACACAAACCATTGCTTTTGTTTACTTCTAACACATTTGCTCAGTTGTCTCACACGTTGGCCTCTGCCACATTTACTCAATTCTCCTTTGTTTTTACTACTGGCATGCTTGCTCAGTTGTCTGCCACATCTACTACTGGTCCACCTGCACAGCTGGCTGCCTGCCACTGTTTTTGCTTGTGAGCTCCTGACCAAAGGGAACCTTCTAATCAGCTGTAGAGGAATTTTAATCCAGCAATAAGGCTGCTCTGGCATGAAATCACATGCAAAGGCCCTCTAGGTCTATGTGATCTGGCTGGAATGCAGATATGCCCTGGATTAGAGTATATCTGGCTAAAATACACGTACACCCTTAGTACACATCTTTAATACCAAACAATGAAAGTAAAATTAGTTTACAGAAGAAAGCAGCAGTGTTTGAAAGTGACAACTAATTGAGGAACAGACAAAGTGACAAATCAGAGAAAGCTTTGACAGAATGAGTCAGACAGAGGATACACCCAACTCTCACAAGAACACAGGT